TTTTTTTTTTTTTTTTTTTTTTTTTTTTTTTTTTTTTTTTTTTTTTTTTTTTTTAGAAACGAGGTCGACAGGTCGAAAAGTCTTGCTCTAAAAGTCATCATCTATTTTTGGCTAATCGCTCCGATGTATACATACATATACAAGCGTTGTTTAGACGGTGGACTGTAGACAATGCGTGTGTCACAAATAATATACTGTATGTTGAAAACATTTTTCTAACGTGACCTCATCCGTATAACATGTGGACTGTGGGGAAATGAAATTCTTTCTTCTTTTTAATTATGGTCGTTGATTACTTGCTGCCACAGCCTACTATTTAATCTTGATCTGTCGCGGGCGCGAGACTTGTTATTAAAAATAGATTTCGATTTGTTCATTGAATTACACCGTCGCCGCGAGTGGAAAAACAAAGCATACACAGTGTGATAAAGCAAACTGTTTTTTTTTTTTTTTCCTTCTCTCCCATCGCAATACAATGGCCCATAATAAACGAGGAAATAATGGTACGCCTTAATTGACACTAGTATTTGCTTTAAATGGAACGTGTGATCTTGCAACCCGAGAATCAACGTGATTATTGAGAAAGGGTTGGATTACGCAAACTCCCGTGTATAATATGTTTGTTTAACTCACGTGGTAACTCTTTAATCCTGCGTGAACCACATGATAGATTATAAATCAATGATATCGCAGTCACAGTTACCATTTTTTTTTCTTCTTCCAAGCTTATACATTTTCTTATGATTGTGACATTAAAATTACATTTATTTTATTGCTCATTTACTTATCGATTGCATCAGCCATTGAATAATGCATTGTTTTTCTTATCGGCTTTCGATCATCTCACGCGTAAAGCAATACGTAATACATACAAATACCGACCATAATAAACGCTTTGTTCTAATTAGAGTCAATTGTTGCATCTCAAACATTAGAGTAGACAAAAAAAAAAGAAAAAAAGAAGCTCTCGTTTCAACAATCAACGATAAAGTGCTTTTATTGAGCTGTTGGTAAATATTTAATTACCACAAGTGACATCACAGACAGAGAAGCAGGCCAATTCTCGTAATTCAAACGAGCCGATTACGACGCTTTCGTCGCACCATACGTATAGCACTCGAGCGTAACGACTAGAGCGTAAATTTCTAAAATTAACGCGAATATTGTAATTCAAGCGCGAGGGCCCCCTACGAATCGCGGGAATGTCGTCCTCTCGAGGATGTGTATGTATATACATAAAATAGTGTACGTGTGTTATTTTTATCAATAATCATAAGGACAGCCAATTGAATTTAATTTGCCATTTGTACATGTACATGCACAGTGAAGTGCAAAAAACGACGCTTGAAATGTTGCTCCGATCGAAAATGGACGCGTGTAGTTAGATACGCGGCGCAAAAACAAATATTTCCCAATAATGCGTAAATCACATTAGCGTTATTCAATTAAGCTAAACTAGCTGAGCCTTAGAGAGAGTGTGGGTACGTATATGCGATTAAATACACGAGCTTGGCGGTCTAACCTGTTTTTGAATTATTTTTCTCTCTCTCTCTCTCTCAGCTTAGGGCACACCGAGACGATTACGACGACGGCAATCTTATTAATCAATAATCCATAAAATTATCCAAACTACTCAAATTCCACTCCTCGTTATTGATATCCCTATTAACGCTTGGGACAAGTCAGTTCCTGGCGACGATTGGAAAACTAACCTATACTTACTCTCGTTTTTTTTTTTTTTTTTTTTTTTTTCCAAATCGCAACAAAAAAGTTGAAAATCGAGGCGAGAAAAGAGCGTAAATGCGTTGCTGTTAATTATAACCCTCCTCCTCCCCCTGAGGACAGAGGCTTCTTTTGGCTGCTCTCACTGTCCGTCCTAACGTTACCGAGCCCTTTTCGAGTGCGGCACGTACATAAATTACCCCGGCAATGTCGCGAGGGGCTGCCACGAAGATCAAAGTCTTTCGGGGCAATTGAAGCCAAGGGGCTTCTTGTTTCTCTTATTCGGGCAAAACGTGCGGGCTCTTTGTTTCTCGACTGCACATTGCAAGGGGTTGCCGCGCCCTGTAAGCTTTTACACGGTTCGAAAGAATTTGGTTATGAGAAGCATAGGTGAGCCGAATTATAAATGACCTTAATGTTCTTCGTTGAAATTTTTCCTCCAACGAGGGACGATGATGGAAAAAATGTAAGTGGTTGGGGGCAAAATCGTCATTTACATGGCCAAGTTTCACTCGACCAACCGAGATGCCGAGGAACTTTTACGTATGGTGTATTAAATACTTAACTTCGCCGCGAATGGCTCCGAGGAAAGGGGATGAGTAATAGCGTCCATTTGTTATTCCCAGTAGATTGAAACTCTTTTTTTCTTTTCTATTTTCCCAAGAGCCCCTTGGCCTCTCCGATTAATAATCATAAGTGCCACGCATAAAAATGATAATTTACCATATAGACAAAACCTATAAATTTTGAGGAAGAAAAAAAAAAAAAAAAAAAAAAAAGTGTGTGTAATCCATGGCGTGTTTCAGATAAGCGACAGCTGATGCCGAAAATGCGCCAGCTCGCCAGGCACTGCTGAGGAGAATGGAGGCGTACAGTAGTTGCGGCCCGGCGCTACTCCCGGTGTTGCCGGACGACGCAGCCCGTCATCGCCAGATGCAGATCGTCGACGGCAGAGCAAACGGCCAAAGGTCCGTGGACCCGTACAGGGAGCTCGAGCTCTACCTCGCCAGGGTTAACGTGAGTACATTATACAGCATTTGCATGAAGGAAATCAACAACAGTAACAACCACGTTTTACCGAGATTTTAGTTGCGAATGATTTTATGACGATTCGTTGCGGAACGTGTACAGCTCGTTAGTCGAAGCGGACGAAGAGAAATCGATGTAATTTACCGTACAAGTGCATTATAGAGTTGCGCGAGGCCTTTTTTGTCTTTGCAAAAGGTAAAAAAACCAACACCCTCGAAACCTTTCAACTTTTGCATCGAAATTGGAAAAAACTCTGGTTGGAATTCCTACTTGAAAAAAAATGACAATCAGTAATGAGAGAGAGAGGCCCTATATATATAGTTGAAACGCGAAAAAACGGCTCTTTAGCTGCTAATCGGCCGTAAATTACCTCCAGGAGACCGCAACCAGCGAAAGAAGAAAAAAGGAAAGATATGAGGCGCAAACAGGGAGGAGGGGGCCGGTGCACGTAATTTTTCATTACCACTCGGCGAATCGTTTATTCCTCGCCGCGGTATCGTCCCGCGGGCGCGAGTACATAAGAGAAAAGCACAGGGTGGTGAGTGTGCAAAGGAACAGAAATGATTCATGAAGTGTGATATTATTCTCTAGGCTCCTGTCGTAAATGTGTACGTACATGTATATATGTAGCGCCGCACGCGAGTGGGGGTCACGCGAGTCGCTCGATTGGGGGCCCCGATAAGGAGGAGCAGCAGCAGTTCTCCTCTCCGCACAATTAGCTTGTAACGGTATGGTATACGCGTATGTATATATACATATAACGATGCGGTAGTGCGGCTGGATAAACTGTTATAGCCGCAAAGTGAGGTCCCCCTTTTGCACGGCTATTATTATACATATAATATACGTATATATACATGTGTGCCCGTGATGCAGGCAAGCAAGCAATATATTCTGTCGCGGCTTTTGGTTAAGTGAAATCCTGCGAGGCTGCTGCATGTATATGATATATTATGCGTAGGTCCTCTCTTTCCACGACTAACTTAATACTTGTAGCATTGAAGCTCTATTGGCAATTTTGTGGCATGTGCCACATGGCTGGTGCTCTCTTCCTCCTCTTCTGGTGGGTATATACATGCAGTCACAACAGTTAGGATCATCATCATCGTGGTCGTGAATGTGTTTGAGATTTTTCGGCTGCTGCGCCAATTATACGCGTGATCCATTGTTTCAGGGGTTGAGGAGGGAAAAGGGGGCCATTGTTCGGATGGGAACAATGGCCCTCTTCCGGAAAATCCCGTGCGAAATTGATTGCGAGATTTTTGATACGCTTAAAAATCAAAGGGTATTCTCGGTTGGGCAACCTATCCCGCAGCGTGTCTTTTAGACGAAAGTAAATAAACGCGGGATAAAAGTTCGCGAACAATATGCGGACGGATGTATTTTTCCTTATACTCGCGAGCCTTGTATTGTGCACGTATCGAGATCACGCGTTTCCTTGTTTTTTTTTTTTTTACTTCTCCATGGTCATTTTATTTTCGTATTAATTGCAAACCCTCCGTATTAATTTCCTAATGATGATGATGGGTAAAGATGCTTCAGTTAAATTCTTGTAATTGGGGTAATTTGCCTCGCTGTCCAGTCCCAACTCGATTTTAGCCTTTAGCAGAATGTTATTGCTCGCGTCTTTGTCCCTGTGCGTTGTTTTTTTGCACTTCGTACAGTGCACATACCGATGTGGGGACGGCGAAACGACTTGTCGCAAATGACACGTTTAGCAGAGGATGCTAGTGCGATGTTTGCGGCATTTGTAAACCATAACATTTTGATTGTTTTTGGCAGTCAAAAACAACTTTTTTTGAAATAATTGCAAAGGAGATCAGGCGTGTCCTTTTATGAATGGTGCGATCTTTGTTTGACCAAGTGCGACGAACGTAATTTTTTCCCTTATTGCTTCTCGTCACCTTAATTTTTCAGCTGACTTGAATATTTTTTTTCCTCGTTTCTTTTCAACATGTATACATCTTTGATGTTGTAATTTACATGTTTCAAGCCATTTGAATACACCGGAACGATTGTAAAGGTTCTTTTATAAGTTTTTTTCAATCATCTTTTTTTGCAAACTACTCAAGAATTTTAAAAACTTCCACTAAATCGTTTTATTTCGTTTATCTTCTTCTTTGTCGTCTTCATCGCTTTTTTTTTTTTTTTTTAAGGTGCGAAAATCTATGCCAGGAGTTTTAATCCTCTCTAGTTCTTTGCATTTACAGAGATTATTGTCAAATAGAGAATTCACAACATCGTCGATATTTTCTTTTTCCTTTTTACACGTACCGTCAGAACAAACTCGTACAAATTTTTTCACGCGACTTTTCATGTGTACGGTTACGTTATTAGAAAAACTGACTTTGTACTGATCGGAGATGGTTTCCACGAGCCCGTATCTAAAGGCATTGCTGTACAAGAGTACGTTACCTCTGATCCTCTTATACTCCTCAAACATTTTGGGTACGCACTGCGGTAAATTTTTGCTCAGCTTTCCACATAAAAGTAATACCAATGGTCGTATTTGGGGTTCCTTGTTGTCGGCTGTCCAATGCTGGACTAGTTCGCTATTCTCATGGTTGAAACAGTACTCCATAAAGTAGGAGGCTTCTATCATGACGCGGGATACTTCACGGACATCCTCTTTAATGGCATTAAAAACTTCTGGTGTGGTCCACAAATGAGACAAGCCACACTTAATGACACTATTAATATTAATTTCTTCTTTGTTCCTCGCCAAAGCTCTCTGTCGAGGGATGTAGTTTTTGCATTTTTTTTACTCCTTATGCTGTGGCCAGTACCCTTGCAAGTCTTGCAATATACTGTATGCGATCACTGATGTTGACACAACCTATTGTAAGGAAATACAAAATTTTTGTTTGCGACGTATCAAACAAATAATAAAAAATTTTTACGCTTTACAAAATTTAATTATTTTGCATTTTTAGTTTTGGAGCCTGTTCCGGAAGATTTGAAATTAACAATATCAAAGGAAGGAAAATTCACAAGTATGCATTAATTTCAATGATATCTGTTATGCAATACTAAATCACAAATTTTTATGCGATATTTACAGAGCGTAAAACAGTAATATCTATCTGCTTTACCTTTAACACTTGACGTGGAAAAAAGTTCTATTCCACCAAATTGATTTAAGAGTGACGGTGTTCGCGACGGAGTGGTAGATCTAGGTGTTGACGTTTTCGTCAAATGCACATATTTTTTGCATTTTTTGCAAGTCTTTCTGCTATGGTCAGTCCCACCACATGCTTTACAACTGCTTTTCGGTTTTTTAAACGTAATCATATTGTTGTGATGACTTTTATCGTCTGTAAAATTACGTTACATTATGCAAATATGTGTATTAAGATTCAAAGCATATTTTGCTTCCTTACAGAGGATGCTTGGTTATGGACGAAGAATGTCCATCTGTGTGTGTATGGGTGAGTGTATATATCCTCGACCGATTTTCACCCAACGAAACCCATTTATTTCTTTCAAAATCGTTATGTCGGTAAAAAACATGTTATAATTTTTTACCAAACGTATGGTTACAGAGAGATAGAGTTACGTCAGTTTATTTGCATGACATTCAAACTACTATTTCACTTTGACTGCGATCACAACATTGTATACCCAACACAATGTCAAGGGGGCATGCATGACAAGAGAGAAAGAGAGAGAGGGAGCGTAGTGAGCACTGCAGCAAAGTCGTCGTGGACTGTCGTATTTACTAACATGCTCAAGACAGTTTTTTCACGAAACAAGGGTTCAATTAACATTACCAAGTAAATTTAATTTACTTTATTACTTACTCTTCTTTTTTTGGATTTTTAACATGTTGCTATAAAAAACAATGTCGAAGATTTATTTGGGAAAAATAGAGCACACTCGTGCATTCATCGAGAGTTTGGAAAAAAAGTCCGATGGGGCCATTTTTTGGGCAATTGGGTGCCCAACGCCATTTTTCCTACCAAGGGCGCAGTAAACGTCTACATAAAAAGAACGGAAAGAAGCGGAAAAATAAAAAATAAAAAATGGCCAAAACAGTAGCTGTTGTCCAACCCCAATTTTCAACAATCATCGCACCTAGAGACTCATATTGTGTACACAAATGAGCCCTATTCAACTAACCCACTACCGTTATTCCGTGCATGGTGATGGGAAAAAAAGGGCAACTCGGCTAATGAGTATAATGTAAAAGGCTCGAGTCATAAGCCACACGTCGGAGTCGGTGTACCCGTGTACTTATAAATATGTATCGGGAGTACGCTGTATGGCAAAGTAAGACAACGTGATCGGTAGGTAGGCATACATATACGCCACGAAGGGAAAAGGTGTTTTATATGGCTCTTGTGTATTTTTTTCCTCTTTTTCTTCTTCTTCTATAAAAGCTTCTCTCTCACTCCAGGACGATGAAGCTGATTAGTATCACACGAGCCGACGTGCGGAGTAGCTTTTAACGCGAGGACTCGAAAAATCGCGATCTGGCTTAACCGAGCGGCTTTTCGATCTTTCCACGCTGAGTAAGTGAGACGTCCTTGCGAGTCGCGTTTATTGTATACATCCTTTAGAAATTTAAATGCACATAGTTTAATTGCTCTAAATTTTTTCATTTTTTCCCAACAATTCATAATTATTAAAATATTTGCACATTCTATTCAGAACTACTCATTTTTTGTACAAGAGGCAAATTATCTGTGATGAATAGTGTGATCAATAAATTGGAAATTGTGTTTCAGCGGGACTAAATATATTAAAAGAACTTTGGTGGGACCATTTAATAGGTCATGTGATCCTACCTGGCCCCCATAATAACATATATTATTAGATGCAGTTCCTATTTCTCCTCTTCATGCGAGTACACGTGTATTAGCTTACTGCGTTTTATACAGACATGGATGATGTGTGCACTCAGTAGAAAGATATTCTTGGACTAGCCTAAGCTCAATGTCACCGTTATTTAGATCTTATGGATAAACAGAAGAATAGCAAATGAAAGT